AACAAGAAGTGAGAGATAGCAGAGATCTTCTACATAAAATTATATACAGCTAGTTTAAACTGTAATTATTTTTCCTTTCTGCACAATGAGGAAGGGGTTAAACCAACCATAATTATTCGAGGTATATTGAAATAGAAGCCCTGGATGATGTTCCCAGATCTGGGAATTCTAGTCAGGCAGCAGCAGATATGAGATTCCTCAGAGCTGTGATTCGCTACTTTCTCAAGTGTTCAAGTGGCCTGGCACTCATGAAAATGTCCAAATTGAAGCACTGGGAAAATGATGCACACTTACTTTTCACCTTTGGATGATGGAAGACTGAAGAATCAACCCAGGCTCTCAGGTAAACTTTGCAGTTTATGGAATATCTCCGGTCCAATGTATGCGAACACTGAACGGCTCCATTTGAAGAAACACTTTATCTCTTGCATCATCTTGCTCATGCCATCACTACACTCAATCCAACTTTCCATTGACAGATGGGAGGTTTATAGTCCTGTTTTCCACAGATCTCTCAAAGGGCTCTATCAGGGAAAATGCGTTTTTCTCTAAAGCTTGGAATCCAAATGTTGCAGAACAAAATAGACACTTGTGCTTTAAAAAGAAAAAGAAGAAGAAGAAAGGAAGTGTACTGGAGACCTGAACTTTGGTGGGGTGGGGGTGGAGGAGTCAACTGGGAAGTCTTTTGTGCCTATCCGTGTATATGGTAAGAGGATGGAAATTTAGTGCACCAAAGTCTGCTCAAATTAACTCAAAATGGAGTTTGTAGGTGAAATCTCCCTCTTCTGTTATTAAACAATCCTGAGTAGTAACAATACTGTGATCCTGTGTCAACAATTAACAAAGAAGCCACTGTCTACTTAAGCTATTGGGTGCTAGGAGTTCCCAAGTGGAATTTCACCTCTCCTCTGGGGGGGGGGGGCGCGGGGGCAAGCGTTCCTGCTGGTCAGCAGCCAAAAGGACAGAGAAGTGAATGCCCCAGGTTGACATTAAGCTAATAACATACTCATCTCTCATTTACGTGATTTGAGGCTCCAATAGAGTTCAAATGCCTCTCCCTGTCATGTCTGTTACCAGCCACAGTATTTTTAAGAAAAGCTGTCCCTCCACAGTCCCCACAACTGCTTGCCCACTGAGTGATGAGAAGATTTCCAGAGAATGAATTTTGAGTTCTCCCTCTTTCCACTGTTTCTAGAGTAGTGAAAGGAAAAATGGACCAAATAGTTCACAGGCTTGGAAATCTGCTCAGCGTGACCACAGCTTTGGGGAGAACAGGCAAAGCGCATTGAGTTACAGAATCCTGCATAGGAACCAAAGAACAAATGAATCACCAGTGTGGAGAACTGAGCCTGGACTTTCAGTTCTGTAAATAAAGAACTTAGCAGAAGCAGAGAGTGGTGCTTGAGCAGCATCCCCAAATTCCAGACTCTCCACCTGCACACTGTGTCTACCACTAGCCTTCTGGATTTTTTTTTAAGGAAAAGAAACACAAAACTGAAAAGGCAGTTTTAGCCTCCCTTTTAACACACAAAATCCTTCCTCTCTTCTCTCTTCCTCTCTCTCTCTCTCTCTCCTTCTCTCCTTCCGATTGAAAATGTTTTGTTGCCTGGGAGTATTTCCAGTTTTATGCTGCTTCAGGCCATTTGCTGTGACTTTGGGGGTGTGTGTGTGTGTTTAGTGTAGACCCCTGCCCCTGCTCCTTTAGCTATAATGACTGTTTGGCAGCTTTTATTGCTTTTGATTGCTAGTATAATAAAAATTTAGGACCAAAAATTAAAAATGAATCTTATTCTCCATTGCTCCCCTACCACACTCTTAGGAAAAACTGTTCTTGTCACACAGAAAGTGAACCAAGCCTACAGGATACAAGGGACTAGTCGAAACGTACCCACCCCACTTCACTCACACTCCCATTTTTATGGGGCCAGTTGCAAGTGGCAAGCAGAAATCCCATATAGAAGTCAACTAGCTGGAAACCTCAAGTCACTGCTGCAGACAGCTGGAGAAAGGAGCGAATGCCAATGTAGCATGGTCCCTGGGCGGCTCGGGTTGCTGCTCACAGCTCACACCCTTCAGTGCTCAGACAGCCTGCATGCTTTGTTCTCGGCCCACTTATGGGTGAAGGCCACTGGGTTTTCACATTTTTTCGATGATGCTCAAATGTCAAGTGAAGAGCTCCAAGGGCGCTCTTTCTACTGCCCCTCCCCGCCAGGTGTCTGGCTTGGAAATAATGCTAATAGCTTACCTGCTTACTGAGGAAAGCTGCAGTCTCTGGCTAAGGCTTTCCCTGATACCACTGCATTCGTGCTACTAATTATTATTACGATAGTCCAGAAATAATGTTTCTGAATAGGTTGTGCATATTTCTTTTCTTAAGGAGTAAATAAAAAGTTACTTGGCCTTTTAAGGCAGCAAGGGGATAAGAATTTTTTCTTTTTTTAAAGTAAGTAGCAAAGAAACAGCTGTTTGTCATAACAGAACCAGCTAGAGATGCAGTTGCTGCATTTTAGGTTTGTCTTGTCTCCTCCCCAGTTTTCTTGTAAAAGAGAGGTGAGAGAGAGGAAGGAAGCAAAGAAGGAGGGAGGGAATGAAGAAGGAAGGGAGGAAGGGAGGGAGGGAGGGAGGGAGGGAGGGAGGAAGGAAGGAATGAAGGAAGGAAGGAAGGAAGGAAGGAAGGAAGGAAGGAAGAAAAATAGAGGGGGGAAGGAAAGTGAGGGGAGGGAAGAGGAATGAATAAAAAAAAGTGGTGGGAGAAAATTCATCCAACTGTTTACCGTTAAAGGATAGGAATTACAACACCTCAGCACAGGTAAGCTGCCTCTCTATAGGACAAGTATCTTAGTCTTGCTAAAAGATAAAAATTCAGAGAAGTTTGAAACTTCTTGAAAAGTTTTCTTGGAGAAAAGGAGGAAGAAAGAATTCCATCCTTTCTTTATATCCAACCATGGCATCAGGAATACATTTTACCATGATTTTCCGGAGAGTTTCATTTGGAACATTCAAGAAAAATTCAGTTTTCACCTGCTTTTTATCTTCAAAGAAACAAGAGACCCTTGCTTTCTTTGCGTAACATTAGCATGGAGAATCTGCTGGATAGTATTGATTTTTCTCTCTTCCAACACAAGCTCATTAACCTGAAACACTAAGGGGTAACGCGATTTCACTCAGCACATAACTGTCTGAGAACAAAAAGACCCCAAGTAGGTGATGGAGCCCCATCCCAGGTATGCTGAATTTAAATATATATATTTAACCAGAGCAGCTATTGCATTGCTTCTTTCACCCTCAAGATGTTCACATCAGCTAATTACGGGAGGTTTTCTTTAAATAAATCCTTCCTTGCAGGGATACTGAGCAAAATCAGGGTTTCTATCCTCCCACCAATCCTGCAGTCTTTCGGGCTGCACAGCTGGGAAATCTGTATACCCAGCAGCAATGCCCTGGCCAGGCTCAGGGCCTCCTCTAAGCGGATCAAACTCCGGAGCTGACTGAGGAACTCTTGGGCTCTATGGAAATGAGGGCTTCCCAAAATTCCCCAGGGGTTCCCTGGTAAAGGAAAAAGCGATTGGGGAAAAATCAGACAACACAGACGTCAGAAGAAGTTCTTTAGACAAGTCTCTGCAGGAAGCACTGGGAGTGGGGCTGTATTTACCTTCCCAATCAAGAAGAATGAGAGAGGTGACCCCACGCTTTGAAAACAAAAACAAAAACAATTAAGTAACAGCTATTTCACTCAAGAAACCGCTCTACAATCTTTTTCTTGTGGTCTTGACTTTTATTCTTTGAGATCTCTGATGAGATCAGATGATCTGTACCCTTTCATTCAAGGCAACAGACGTCTTCAAACTGTCTTTAATTTGATTTATCCTTGAAACAGAAAGTGCATTACATTTGACTGGTCTTGCAAAGGGGGTTTCTTCTCTTTATAAACCGAATTCCTTATATAAATTAATAAAGGTTAAAGATGCTAATATGTCACTGTTAATTAGCTTTTACAAAAGAAAACAATTTACATATTCTATAGCATCTTATGATACAAAACACTTCAAATTCAATTACAGCAACTAAATGGGATTTATGTTTTTGACCCAAAGCGGGTAGAACAATCCCCACCATCTACTTTAACAAGTATTTGTATCAGAAAGGAGTTAAATTAAATACAAGCTATTGTAGCCCCTCCCTCCCCTATACTTTCTTTAAACCACTAATAAATAGCAACAAACGAGTGTGCAATTTCCAAGAGAAACGGAGAGGCGGGTAGGTGGAAGGCCCCTGGTTCCCGCGTCTTCTGTTTCAAGTCCTGGGGCGGGAGCTAACCCGAGTGGGTGGATATCCAGGGCGCGCAGGGCCAAGCTGGGCCCGGCAGGAAGAGAGAGCTGGAAGGGGATAGTGAAGTTCCACAAACGCAAAAGCAGAGCAGCCAGAGGCGGCGGTGAGGAGGTGAGGGGCAAGCAGTGACACCTTCCACTGCTCTCCAATTAAATTCAAATAAAAAAGGGAACGGGCAGCAAGAAGGAGGGCCCATCTTTTTATACCAATTTAAAAAAAAAAGGAAAAAGAAAAAAAGATTTTACATTTTAAATATTCACAATAAAGTAACTTCTAGTCAGTGTGACTCACGATTTATTTACAAAGAGCCTTCAACAGGTTAACTTGAGTCTGCGCAGCCGTGGACGGGGGAGCATCTTCTGCGCCGCCGTCTCCACGCGCGACGGGTGGGACCTGCAGCAGCTCCTGGCGGTGGGCCCCCTGCCAGCGGCTCTCGGGTCACCAACCTGTGGCCAGCAGCTCCTGGGCGGGCGCACCCCGCGGACCAGGACCAAGCTGGGGGAACCCTGGGGGCGCAGCTGCCCTCCAGGGTTGTCGCCACGATGCGACTGCCTTCTGGTTAACCCGGAGTCTCTCCCCCGTCTCCCCTACAACTCCTAGGTTAAAAAAATAGATATGTACATCTCAGAAAGTAGCAAAGGGCCCCCGTGGGGGCCGGGGCCGGGGCGCGCTCAGGAGGAGCCCTCGGTCTCGGATGCGTGCAGCAGGAGGCCCCCGCCGCCCCCGCCGCCTCCGCCGCTGGACTTGTGCTTCTTCAGCAGCTGCGTGATCTTCTCGTCGTCCGAGTTGGGGTCCAGGGGTTTGTTATAGTCGTCGTCCTCCTCCTCGTTCTCCGAGGTCCCCTTGAGCCGCTCGGTCTCCGAGTCCTGCTTCTTCTTGGCCGTGGCCATCTCGGCGGCGTGCTTTTTTCTCCACTTGGTCCTGCGGTTCTGGAACCAGACCTGCGGGCGGGAGGAGCTGAAGGCGCACAGACCCCAGCCCGCGCCGCCACGCCCACCCGCGCGGTCCCCCCGGGAGACCTCCTGAGCGCCCTAGGCCGGGGCCCACCACTCCGCATCCACGCTGCCAACCTCCCTCTCATTTCCCCCTCGGCCTGGTCTCCTTAGAGGGCCGGGACACTAACTGCCGGATCTCCTGTGTTGCCATAGCGATAACCCAGGAGTAGTGGGATTGTCCGCGAGCCATTCCTCAAAGAGTAAAAAGCTGCTTCCCACTTCCACCTTCTTCAGGTGCCTGAGAAACTTATTCCTTATTTAGCTTTCCCGGGAGAATTTGGAGCAGCCGGAGGTGCCCTGGCGCTTGGTTATGAGTGAGGAGGGGGAGGGAGGGGCGCGGCGGAGGCACCCTGTTCACCAGCCATTCGCTCTGTTCCTATTTCCTTTGCCATAGTTGTCTGTTTCGCTGCCCTCGGGTCTCAGCCATGCACAAATCCGGCAGGGAAACCACCTCCCCGTGTGCACTGAAAAGGCCTGGTGTAAAGTTTAAAGTCTGCTAAGACACAACCTCCAATAACCCACAGTGAACTAATAGAAATATTAGAAATATTTGGCTCTGTCAAAATCACCCTCTGTAATCCGGTCTGTTCTGTCTCTTCCTTTCTCGCCCGCCTCTTCCCCCCCTCCCCCGTCAGTGTAGGAGGTCCAGAAAATCAAAGTGAAAGCTTGAATTAGTTTTAAAAAGTGAAAAGTTGGCCAATTCCGTTGTTTTCCAATGTTAGCGTGGTTGTGGTTCTTCTTTCTGTTTTAATTTAATTCCTGCCAAGGCATTCATGTTATATATAAAATAGTTAAGCCTGTTCCTGATTTTTGACTCCTGGACATACACAGTTTAACCCAAAGATCAACAACACACCTCCAATTTCTTAAAGTTTTTGTCTTATTCTGTCTTTATGGTTTTCAGCTGCTACATGTTTTATGTAAAAATCAGAATAGCCAAGAAGATGGTTTTGATGTTCTTTATAAGGTGATCTCAATTCACTTCTAGCCATACAGACATATTTATGATGACAAATGCAGACATCCCAATTACTGTGGTGGGTTCTGTACCAACCCACTAAGAAAAATAATAACAGTAATTTTAATTATGATGCTATCCTAATGCCCACACACAAAATCTCTACCGAAATCCATTTGATGATGTGAGAGGGAGGGTCGGGGAGAGGGGCAAATAATACTCTAATTAGTAGACCCCAGTTATAATGTTATCCTACTTAAGAAGGAATAACAAAACTCATGAAACCAGACGTGTGCACTCTAAGAAACAACTGTACCCAACGGGGGGAATGGGGATTAGGGAGGAAAGAGTACTTAAAATATAGGAAGTTCTCAGATTGAATTCACCTAACCAGGTCATTCCCTTCACTTTTCAGGAAAAGATTTTTAAAATTTCACTATAAATGAAGCGACTAAATCTGTTGAGAAACATATTTTAAATAGAATCCAATCCTATATAATACAAGTAATCCTGCTGTCAATTCATTCGGAAAATGACTATTACAAAAGAACAGCCTTGACCTCATCCACGCCAGGCATATCCAAAGGAAGCGAAATGAAATCTGCAAGCTCATAAATACTGACATACCAGCACTACAAAGCCGACCAGGACTTTAAGAAATTGTATTTAACTGGTGGAGGCTGAAGCCCCAAACCGAAGCTTCAGCATCTTTTTACATAGTCAATAGAAGCTATCAAAACAGCCTGGTCTAGTCTCTGGGCTGAGATTTCAGTAATGGTTTTTATTCTCCCATTATGGCGAGTCCCCGTAGCCCAAGCGGCTATCTAGATTAACCTAATTTCAAAGGCGGGGGCTCGGAGGTCTTTTGTTCAGCAACAGTTTGCCCGCCTGCAGGACCCCGGCGTCTTTGTAAGCCCCCTCCCCTCCCCCTCCCTGGCCACCAGCTTTTCCCCAGGCTCTGCCACTGACTTGCGCACCCGGCACTGCCCCGTGGGCGCACTCACCACGCGGGGCGTGAACACCCAAGGTTTGCCAGTCCACTCACCTTGACCTGACTCTCGGTCATCCCCAGCGAGTAGGCCAAGCGAGCCCTCTCAGGCCCCGCCAAGTATTTCGTTTGTTCGAAAGTCTTCTCTAGGGCGAAGATCTGCTGGCCGGAGAAAGTGGGCCTCGTGTGTTTTCTCTTCCCGTCTTTGTCCAGCAAAATGGACCCTTGATCTAGGAAAACCAATCAACAGCAAAGGGAGGGAAGTGGGGAAAAATTGATAAGGAGCAGCTCCACTTGCAGGTTGCCGGGTGTGTGTGGGGGTGAGGTGGGGAGAGGGAACTAAACTTCTAAAAACAAAACAAAACAACAGCTTTCTCTGTGGCAGGCACCTGCAGAGTCCCAGCACTTTCACTCCCAAGGTGCGGCTCCTTTATTGCGGTATTTTTTCCCTCTCTACTGGGATCTGGTTTTTTTTTTAATTAATTAATTTCTTTTCTTTTTATGACACAGTTTCATAGGCTCCGGGATTCCCCAACCCCTTCCCATACCCTCGCCCCGTGGTGGATTCCTCCACATTGTTGCAGTATTACAGTTCAGATCCGGTCCTGATTCCTTCATAGGCATCTGTTTTTTAAAAGCCAGGTATCTGCGGAGCTTCGGTGAGTCTTCTGCTCCGTACCAACCGGGGAGCCCGTGGCTAAAGTTTGCCAGAGCCGGGAGGCAAGGCCCTATTAGTCTCACAAGTGTCCGAAAGCGTACCCTTCGCCTTCTTTTTTGCTCTTGTCTGTGCTCACCCAGGGCCGCGAGCCTTTGGCCAGAGGATAACTAGTTCTGCCTTGTTTTTTTAAATTGTTGTGGTTTCTTTACATTTTTTTTTTCCTTGAACGCTTCCCTAACCTGTGTCCGGGCAACAAAGGGCTCCTTGTTTCTTGGCGCATAAGAGAGTGACCTCGCCCCCCAAGTCTGATGCCGCAGAGGCTGGGAGGGAGGGAGAGGGGGCGTAACCTTTGTTGGCTGCCCTGTGGTGGCCGCCGGAACGGACACAATAGCATTTCCCGGACACTAGCACCCGGGCCTTCTTCTGAGAGTCTCCACTTGCCTCCCGTAGCCGCCCGCACTCACTGCCGATTTGGAGAACTGGTCAAGAAAAGGCCATCGGGGAGCAGGACCCAGCGACGCCACCAGGCAGGCACGCGTGGTCTCCACCGCTGACACCCAATTGCTGTGCTCTGGGGCAAATCGGTAGCCCCAAGCAAGATTTTGCGGGAGATGTCATTTCGTACGTGTCCCTTCTCCTAGCTCCTCCCTAAGTCCTTTCAAGTGTCACAGCCAAGAACTCCACCGAGGCTCCCAACGGATTGTAGACAAGGGTGGGTGGCCTTTCCTTCCTGTGCCCTCTCTCTGCCCCAGGCCAGACCAGCGGTCCCGGCCAGGCCTGTTCGGGAGCAGCCAGGACCTGAGTCGAGGCACACGTCCCGCACCGTGTTGTGTTCCACCCCAACACACGCACAGTCCAGACGTGCCCAAAGTTTGGGGACAGGGGTTGCGCTTGGACGCTGCCACGCCGCCGACTCAGGAAAATGAGCTCCCTGGTTCAACCTAAACTGTGCTATTTCCACAATGCCAAGCAACTAGGGCGGGTAGGAGGGTGACCGGCCGCGTGCACACCGGGACCGCGACCCGAGAAGGAGCTGTACAGGCGCCCCACGCAGGTGGCCGGACACCAGCGATCGAGTACTCACGAGGGGTGCAGGCCAGGCGCGCGTCCCTCCAGGGTGGGCTCTGCATCACTCCGGGCCAGAAGATGGGCGTCCGGCCAGGCAGCTCGGCCAGCGGCTTGGGGTAACGACCCACGGCGGCCACGGCCGCGGCGCTGGGGCTGAAGTAGAGGCCGGGGGGCGGCGGCGGCGGGCTCAGGCTGCTGAAGCGGGGCAGGCCGGCCAGCAGCCCCGCCGGGGAGGAGGCGGCGGCGGCGGCAGCAGCAGCAGCCGCGGCGGCGGCGGAGGCAGAGGAGGCGGAGGCGGACGAGGACGAGGAACCCGAGGGCGAGGCAGAGGGCAGGGCTGCCCCGGAGGCCACGGGCATGGACGGCCGGCTTAGGATGTCGTTGATGCCGTGCGGGGTGGCTGCCGAGAGCTGCTGCGGGGGGCTGCCCAGGGACGAGAGCCCCCCGACTGCGGGGGGCTTCAGGGCCCCCGGATTGTGCGCGCCCAGGGGCGGAGAGGGCGAGGACGAGGAGGAGGATGAAGACGAGGAGGAAGGGGGACCTGAGGGCAGCGGGGGGTAGGCGGCGGGGTACAGTGGGGTCTTCATCTCGGCCATGCTGTGCAACGCGGCCAGGGGCGGGCTGCTGAGCAGGAACGCGCTCTGCCGGGTGCCCTCCATCGCCCCGACCGCTAACATCCCACGGCCAGGCTCGAGCCCGCAGCCGTGCAGCGAGGGGCGCCGGTGGACCCCTGTGGGGCTCCGGAGGGGGAACCCCCTCGCCCCTGGCAAACGCCGGAGCGCCCGGGGCGTCTGGGGAGGCGACGGCCAACGGGGCGCAGCGGCCGAGGGGTCCAGGAGCGCCACGGGCGAGGCGGGGGCTCTGTGCGTGGGGGCAGGCGGGGGGCCGTGGACGGTGCACCGGCCCCTTGCGGTCCCTCGGCTTCGGGGATGTCCCGATTCAAGCCCTCAGCTCTTCTTTCCCGCTCACACGTGCTGCTGTCGGTTCAATGCGCACTGCTTCTCATCTTCTCCCGGCAAAGCCGAGCCGATCCAACCCAGGCCAGGCCCCCGAGAGTTTGTCACAAAGTTAGCAGGCCCGGAGCTTGCACGGGGAAGCCGGCTCGCCCGCAGCCCTCCTCGGGCAGGCACCTCCTGGCGGTGGGGAGGCACTGTGTCCCTTCGGCGGACGCCGTCACCCTCGGCCTCTCGGCCCGCGTCCAGCCCCCCGGGAAGGACCTCGCCGCCTGCGCGCGGGCTCCGCAGCCGGCGTCGTCCCGGACCTTGCCACCACCGGCTCCCCCTGTGCCTTCCCGGATTGCGGGACTGCCGGGCGCAGGGGCCCTTGGAGGGACAATAGCGGAAAGAAAGTGGGAGAAAGAAGCAAAACCACTAGCACCAAAAAAAAAAAAAAAAAGGCGCGGAAAACAAGGAGCACGCGTGGAAAAGTCTAGCCGGTGCGTTCGGGATGCGCTCGCCCGTGCTCCTCTGCAGCCGGGCCCGGCGCCCGCCCCACCCCAGCGCCCGCGCGGCTCACTCGGGGCGGCCGGCTCGGCTCGCTCGCATCGCTCCCCGCGCCTTCCCAGCGGCTGCGCTCCGCCTGTCCGCGCGGGCCGGACTGACCCTCTCCCGGCGCCTCCGCCGCTCGCTCTGGTCCTCTCTTCCCCCCGCCGGGCCTGACAGTTCGGATGAAGCTCTCAAAGGTAATAAAACATTTGCATCCCTCTCCGCCCGTCTTTAGCTGGGGGGCCGGCAGGGAGGGGACCGGGCCCGAACCACAACTTTGAGGGACGTCACTCGGCCGCGGCCGGCAGGGGGCGGGGCCGAGCGCCGGCCTCGGGCTCCCGTGTGTGTCCGGCGGCCGAGGGGGCGGAACCACCGCCTCCAATAGCGCGCCGCCTCGGGCCTTCGCGTCGCCCCTGGGACACGCCCACCGAGGCGTGGGGGGAGCAGCGTCGCGCCCTCCGATTGGCTGAAGGTGGTGAGCCGGGAGGGCCGCGCCCGCCGAGTCCCCGCCCCCTTCCCGCCTCCCTCCTTCTCCTCAGGGCGGGCGCCCCGGGCGAGCGGTGCGGCTGGACTGTGTGAGGCGACCGGCCGCCTCAATTAATTGTGTTCCAGAAGACGGGAAAGGGGGCGGGAGGTGGGAATAGGGAAACGGAGACGAAAAGGGTATTACTTTTTGAAGAATCAAGAAAAGCCGGCCCTTTTATGGAAAAGCAGTTGCTTGTCCTCGGCCGCTCGCGTCAGGCCCCCGCCGGCCCCCTCGCCGGCGCCTCACCTCGAGCCGTGCCCCCCGGGGCCCCTGAGGAGGAGAGAGCGCGAGGAGCCGGCACCTCCGGCCCGCTTCTCCCCAATGGCGTCCACGCGTTGGTTGCTCCCGCTGAGCCCCTTGCAGGCCGAGGGGCCGCTCGCTCGCCGGCCCAGGCTCCCCACTCCGAGACGGCTCTCCTCAGCGGGCGGTCCCGCCGCCTTCGCCCGCCAGCCGAGCCCTCTCCCCCGGGGACTCTGTCTCCCCGGCGACCCGTGGACGGGCGGCCAAGCGAGTTTGTTTCTTAACCCGCACCGACACTACCCTCCCTCGCCCCCCAATCTCTTGGCTCAGTACTGGTTCGTGGTTGGGGAGGTTGTGTAGGTGGGCAGAAATCACCCCCAAAAAAACTCGGGCCAAGGAGACTGTCCGAAAGAGAAGTCAGCGGGAGTGGCTTCCCGAGGCTCGCCCGCCCGCCCGGCCGTCCCTGCGGCCACCTGCGGGTCTGCACGTGGCAGGGGCTGCCGTGTGGCCGAGGCCCTGGACTTGGGGAGCAGAATGCAGAAATGCAAGCGCTGGCTCCGGAGAGAAACTTGGGGCGCAGCGCCCAGGCTCCGGTGGAGTTGCCTAAGCACTCGCCTTTAGGGTGTCCACACCGGCCTTTAGGGTGTCCGCTAGAGAGAGGGCGGAGGAGATTGTCATATGCCCCCTTTTTTGTTGTCGCTCTCGGAGATGCAACTTAGGCCGCCAGGTCTTCTTCTCTTCCTTCCTCACACTTCGCAACTTCGAACTTTGAGCCTGGGAGAAATCGGCTGGCCCTTTAACTTTTTAGAATCCTCGGGAACAGCGAGGCACTGCCGTGACAAGCTCCGGGCATCCTCCTCCGGGGTGCACGCTGCAGCGTCCTGGGGAGCACGGGGACCCCCCTCTCTCCCATACCTGCCTTTCTTACTCAGAAAACTTGTTCTAGCCTCCTGGGGGTGAACAGCGAGCAGTCCGGGCCTCCGGATATCTCCCAGGGTCCTGCAGGATCAGACATGCTAAAGACATAGGGAGGTATGGCGAGAAAAGGCGGCTAGGGTTTCCCAAGATCCCCACCCCCCCAAATTTACGGCCTTTAATGCCGCGTAAATTCTGTAACCCGAGAAAAGGGGGAGAATGGTTTGCCTATTGCGGACCCAGTATCTGGAATTGGGAAGGGAGTGGGGCTGAGGCAGAGAAATTTGTCGAGTCCATGTTCGGCTTAACTGCTGTAGAAGAATCGTCACGAGGCTGGTTCTTGGTGAAGTCTCTACCCTTAGCTTCCCTTCGTTCCACCGCAGGATTAAAATCATCGCATTGTTCTCAGTTAAGACAATAATACCGTTCAAGGGTTGGTGTCCCTGGATTCCTTGGAAGGGGGCGAGGCTCTGGTGCCCAGATCCCGCGTGGGGCGACGTGCGTCGGTTGTCAGATACCACGACCTGCTCCGTCCGCAGCTAGCTGGGAACCGGGGGAACCGGGGAGCCTCCTTGGAGTGTGTGTGGCGGGGTGTGTGCCTCTCCCTCGCGGACAGATGGCCCTGCCGTCCGCTCTAACCGCGAGGTTTAAGCCGCTGTGCGTGTTGCGCGCCCTGATGCTGGACCCCGGCCGGGATGCGGGGGTTTGGTCTGCGTGGTCTTTCTCATGCCCTTGGGTGTCAGAACTTGCTGTCCTTTGGGGACCTCTCCGGGTCCCGCGTGCCCTCCCGCCCATGGGGAGGACTTTTCCAAGCACTCCCTATGGAGTTGAACGTGTAACACGTGGTCGCAACCTCAGGGTGCATCCCTGCCCTGTTTGTATTTCTCTGAGAGGTTGTGTTTCCAAGCGAACGATTTGCATTTTAATTGGAAAATAAATGAAAGCTTTTTGGCAAATTCTGAGATTGCAAAAAAGGGCTCAAAGAGTAGGGGTGAGGGAGGCGCCAGACTTGGAGCCTCGGAACACCTTGCATCTGTTGGCGGGTTACTGGTCCGGCGCCATCCACTTGACCTTCCCCCTTCCCCTCCTCGGCCTAATCCCTGGACTCAGAAACGCCGCCAAGCGCTTTGGGTTACTCTTGTTTTAAGTTAAAGGCGCAGCCATTAGATTCAGGGAAACTCACGGAAGGAATGCAAATCTAAATTCAGCTAAATGCACTTTGGTTCAGCTGTGGGAGAGATGATACCAGCCCGGGCCGAGTATATTAACGTCAAACGTCGGAACACTGGCGTGGAGCAGAATGTCTCTTCTTCATACTCAGTGGGGGAGAGAATGAAGGGTGATGGGGGAGGGTACCGGAGCATAAGACCTTCCAGTGTGTGGTCTTGCCTAATCTGGATGAGTTCGCCCACGGAGTGGGGCCTGCTGGAGGATGGCAAGGGGTTTGAGTGTATGTTACTAAAAGGCAAACAGTGGCGGCCACATGGACCCAGGGAGAGCAGGCTGGCTGTCCCCAGGCTTGACCAGTCCCAGAGGAGAGCAGAGGAAGAGGGAGGAGGGCATTGGGGGCTCGCTTTGCTTCTTTAAAGAGCCTCTTTAGAAAAATGGAGCCAGAGAAGCACTGACAAATGCCGGGCGATTGATGGACATTGCTGTAGGGTCCTGCGGCAGTGCTGGCCCCAGGGAGGCCAGCGCCAAACAGATGGGGAAGCAATGGGGGCTTCGACGGCTGAAATCTACCACCAAACAGATCTGGAAGCTCCATTATTGAGGTTGCCACGTGGCACAGTCGTTCAGGCAGTGACAGGAAAGCTTCCATGAGTTCCCCTGAAGGTTTAGGTACACGTGGAAGGGAGGATTCTGAAAAGTCCAAGAAGATGGGAAATATTGAAACATTTGCAAAATCTGAACTCAGAAGGACAGAAAATGTCAGTGACCTGCTTGAGAGGAAACAGGTCTAGCAAACACATCCATGTCTTCCTGTGTAGATTACATTCTTGGAAGGAGTGAGTGCGCTGGCCCATCTCTTTTCACTTGAAGTTGAAGGTAATTCCCCACCCATGCAGCCAGCCTTAGCAGTTGTAGTGGAGACCACCGGCTCCCAGGACATTCTGGATGATGGGAACCTATGGGGATTCTGTGCTGGAACGAGTTTCTTGGCCTATAAGACTTCTTTCCAGAATGAAATATTAGTGCTATTTGATGAACCAAGTTTAAAAAGCATCTGCTGTGTGTATCCCATGTCCGCTAAACCTAATTTCTTAAATGACGCTGTTCTATTCTATTCTATTCTATTCTATTCTATTCTATTCTATTCTATTCTATTCTATTCTATTCTGTTCTGTTCTATTCTATTCTATTCATTGCTTCTGAGCTGAGTGTGCATTGAGTGTGTCAGTGCTGATCCCCTCGGACCGCCTCTAGAGTGAGGCTTTTTATTCTTCAGCAAGGAAAAGTTATTTGCGGCTCTGCTTCCCTCTGGGCGCCGAGTTCCCGAAATCCTGAGCAGTTA